TTGACGCTCTTCGAAATATAAGAAGAAGGTCCTTAATCTCAAGTGGTCTTTTTGCGATCAGGTATTAAATGTTCGTTTTTTTTTTTCAAAACTAATTATTCATTTAATGAGCCATTTAGTTTGAACTTTTAGGACTACTGATTTAATTTTTCTATGTTCTACAGAATGTCTGTCAGTTAGTGTGCCTCTTGGCACAGGTCTCCACTAGCATCTTCCATTCTCGTTTATTTTTGGCAACCCTCTTCTAGTTGGGAACAGCTGTCAACTTTATCGCATTCTACCTAACCAAGCAATTTACATCATTTTGCTATTTTTCAAGTTGTATTATTTCAAAATTTTAACACATATTAAGGAAAAACGAGTATCTCTGCATATAGCTTCAATTGGTCAATTAGCTTTACGTGAATCTTTGCCAAAACATTTCTATCTTTGCCATACAGTCATAATAGTGACTTTCGGGCTTTGTCACGTAACTTAAACGCGCAAAGTTTGAAGCTGTTTGTGTTTGCAGCCTAAATTTGTAAACTTCGCTACCATCTTGACGGAATAACTTAACGTTAATAATTATAGTTCATTGTAGGCTTAGATGGAAACAGAGGCGATCATACCTTCACAAAAATTTAACCAATGTAAAGAAAATATTGAATTGAACATTTTCCAGAAAGCACTGCAAAATAATGGTATTTTTTAACATTCTCTATACTGACATTTATCATTTGTACAGAACTAGGTTTTTCTCATCAAAGGGCTATCAAGTAGGATGTGACCCTCAAAGCATTTATCTATTCCGCTGTCATCTTACGTTGTGACGTCACGACCCAGAATGACGCCTTTTTCAGTCACAAAACAGCGTACTTTTGATGTCACTCCAAACGATACTGTCATTCCGATTCTACCCTTTGTTTGCGGGAATTCTTTATACCTATTTAAATACATGAAAATTGTAGATTTTCATTTGTGTTTTATGTAATTTATGACGGTAGCTCATTCACTATGATGTGATTTGAATCTGTAAAATGTAAATAGAAAGATAGTATTAACTAAGTGTTTATCGGAGCCCGACGGAAGTACAATGGACTATCGCTACCGGGCTTGAGATCCAAGGACGAAAACTAAATATTAATGATAATACTTAGTCAGGTCATAAATTCTGTCACATGTTTAATGTAAAATAATTGAAACAAGTTTATTCATTATATAACCATTCATATACCAAAATGAACTTAAAAAAACATAGATTCTTATGACACTAAAGTTTATTCAAAATTACCTCCGTGATTTTGAATACAGGCCTTCAATCTGCGCGGCCAGTCGTCTATCGCAGCACGAACGAGGTCCATGTCAATATCGGCGGTTGCCTTGATCAAAGATGTCTTGAGTGACTCCAAATTGGGATGAGGCTTTGAGCACGCCTTTTCCTCCAAGTGTTGCCATATCTTGTAATCTAAAGGATTCAAATCTTGACTGGAGGAGGGCCAGTCTTCGTGTCGGATGAAGTCGATTTCACGCGCCGCCAGCCAGTCTTGTGTGCTCTTCGCTCTATGAGCTGGCGCCGAATCTTGTTGGAATACCCAGTGCCTGTTATTGAACATGGTATGAGAAACAGGTTCCACAAGGTTCGTCAGGACTGTATTTTGATACACAACTGCATTCGTTTTTACACNTCTTAATCGTTTGAAGAGTTGGAGTGTCGTCAAAGTTGTGTAAACCTTTGTGTTCTCGAAATTTACGCCGCGCAACGGTTGCCGAATTGTCGTTTTTATAAAACTCGCGCACACAAAACGCACGGTCCGCTCCGGTAAAACGCTCCATCGCGACTAAATTCCCAGAAACCGAAGTTACTCCCCCCGCTTCCCCTGCACCGCTCACGTGCGCCCTGTTCGTTTTATTCAAATTTTACTTTTCAAAGGACTTATGGGCCACCCTGTATAAGAAGAAGGTGCTTAATCTCAAGTGGCCTTTTTTTCGATAGGTATTAAATTTTCGTTCTTTTTTTTTCAAAACTAATTATTCATTTAATGAGCCATTTAGTTTGAACTTTTAGGACTATTGATTTAATTTTTCTATGTTCTACAGAATGTCTGTCAGTTAGTGTGCCTCTTGGCACAGGTCTCCACTAGCATCTTCCATTCTCGTTTATTTTTGGCAACCCTCTTCTAGTTGGGAACAGCTGTCAATTTTATCTCATCCTTCCTAACCAAGCAATTTACATCATTTTGCTATTTTTCAAGTTGTATTATTTCAAAATTTTAACATATGATAAGGAAAAACGTGTATCTCTGCATATAGCTTCAATTGGTCATTTAGCTTTATGCGAATCTTTACCAAAACATTTCTATCTTTGGCGTACAGTCATAATAGTGACTTTCGGGCTTTGTCACGTAACTTAAACGCCCAAAGTTTGAAGCTGTTTGTGTTTGCAGCCTAAATTTGTAAACTTCGCTACCATCTTGACGGAATAACTAAACGTTAATAATTATAGTTCATTGTAGGCTTAGATGGAAACAGAGGCGATCATACCTTCACAAAAATATAACCAATGTTAAGAGAATATTGAATTGAACATTTTCCAGAAAGCACTGCAAAATAATGGTATTTTTTAACATTTTCTATATTGATATTTATCATTTGTACAGAGTTTACAGGTGGTAGGACCTCTTGTGAGTCCGCGCGGGTAGGTACCCCCACCCTGCCTATTTCTGCCGTGAAGCAGTAATGCGTTTCGGTTTGAAGGGTGGGGCAGCCGTTGTAACTATACTGAGACCCTTAGAACTTATATCTCAAGGTGGGTGGCGCATTTGCGTTGTAGATGTCTATGGGCTCCAGTAATCACTTAACACCAGGTGGGCTGTGAGCTCGTCCATCCATTTAAGCAATAAAAAAAAAGAGGTTTTTCTCATCAAAGGGATACCAAGTAGGATGAGACCCTCAAAGCATTTATTTATTCCGCTGTCATCTTACGTTGTGACGTCACGACCCAGAATGCCACCTTTTTCCGTCACAAAAACAGCTTACTTTTTGATGTCACTCCAAGCGATACTGTCATTCCGATTCCACCCTTTGTTTGCGGGAATTCTTTATACCTATTTAAATACATGAAAATTGTAGGTTTTTATTTGTGTTTTACGTAATTTTTAACGGTAGCTCATTCACTATGATGTGATTTGAATCTTTAAAATTTAAATAGAAAGATAGTATTAACTAAGTGTTTACCGGAGCCCGACGAAAGTACAATGGAATACCGCTACAGGTTTTGAGATCCAAGGACGAAAACTAAATATTAATGATAATAATTAACTAAACAAATGAGAGTCAAAAAACTTTAAATTATTTCTGTCTCAAAACGGATTTAGAAATCTACCTTAAGGAAATTCAACATTTAGAAGTATAGTAATTTATTATAAGAAATTCCCAACTGTTACGACGTCAGGAGACGTTACGAGATAAGAAGTTCGCAAATTTTAAAGGGCGGATATTTAGCGCATTTTCGAAGTTGACGAATTATTCTATTCATATAATAAATAATGTTTGTTTCATTATTAACTGGTTTTACTGTAGTCATGAACACTTATACAATAATCAATCAATCATTTAATCAATCAATTACAATTAACAAAGTAGGACTACAAAAATTAAGTGCAACTTTGTAAAAAGTACTGTCATTATAATAATCAGAACTGGGGTTGACAGATCTGTCTACTCCTATCACCCTACCACAGTTTTCAGCTTACCCACAATCAAGACCCAGATAGCAGTATTGATACCAAGTTGTAACCCCATTAAATTGATTTACGTTATCTGTAGCTTACAAGCCTGCTTAGCCACTTTTCTTCACTAGCTATTTTGGCTAATCGACTAACAGCGTACGCCTCTGGGAATGCCAATTAACGAAAGGCATCTCTTGACTTATTAATCCGCTCATGCGTACAACTTGTAAATTCGTAAGACGCTTTATATGAAGCTGTGACATGGTACAGAATTATTAAACACTACATTCATGAATATGGGATGGAAAATTTACAGCATTTTGTCTTAAGTCCGTGGGGTGGAATCCTCATAGCATGACCTTCTGTTTTTGAAGTGAAGAGTGAAGAGAACAGTGCATATTATATTTAGTAGTACCAGAGTCTGTGAAGTCGTCGTGGCCTAAAGGATAAGGACGTCCGGTGCATTCGTATATAGCTATGCAACGGTGTTCGAATCCCGCAGGCGCGTACCAATTTTTCTAATGAAATACGTACTTAGTAATTGTTCACGATTGACTTCCACAATATCATCGTGTAATAAAAATCAAACCCGCAAAATTATAATTTGCGTGATTACTGGTGGTAGGAAATCTTGTGAGTCCGCACGGGTAGGTACCACCGCCCCGACTATTTCTGCCGTGAAGCAGTAATGCGTTTCGGCTTGAAGGGTTAGGCAGCCGTTGTGACTATACTTGAGACCTTAGAACTTATATCTCAAGGTGTGTGGCGCATTTACGCTGTAGATGTTTATGAGTTCTAGTAACCACTTAGCACCAGGTGGGCTGTGAACGCGTCCACACATCTAGGCAATAAAAAAAAATAGAATAAGATATTCTTTAGGTGAATTCGACTTCAAAAGACTTCACTTAGACCCTCGCAAAGTGACTCCCGTTTTTCACATCGCGATATTTATGCTAACCAAGCTACAATGTGTACCTTGTGTTTGTCCCCTCACCTACAAATATAGCTACATACATAATTCAAATGAAGTTTTAAGCATCGGAAGATATAAGCCGCTTTCCAACAGTCCGATGCATATTCGCACGACATCAAAATGTCATATTTTAATTATGTTTTTATTTTCAAGGTTTGTATATTATATGTTAGCTGGTTTAATTGCAAGTAAGTTTTTGATATTTAAATAACAAGTTGTATGAGTACATTTCCTTGTATTGAATATGGATATTTTATTCGGGCGGGGTTTGTATAAAAGGAGATAGTGGGTTATTCGAATCACCACAAGTCACATTGACGTAGTCGCGACAATAACTAGAAAAATGTTCGTGAAGGTAAATTAAATATTGATGTTATTTAATCCTTTAGTTTTATTTAAATTTTGTTTAAATTTTTGTTTAGTTTTGTTAAAATTTAATAAGTTTATATTTTCTGATGGAACGGAACGCTTGAACCACAAGCCGGTAGCAACTGTTATTACAATGCAATCTGACTGCAAAGCGTTGAGATTCTTAGATCACGTTACAAGGATACACAATTATTATCGACTTTTTTTTACAACATATTTTTTATTATCAGTATTTATTATTTTATTTATTATATTTTATTAGGCAGCGGCTTGGCTCTGCCCCTGGCATTGCTGAAGTCCATGCACTACGGCGACCACTTACCATCTGGTGGGCCGTATGTTCGTGTGCCTACAAAGGCAATAAAAAAAAATACCAATTTTAACATTAAATTAGTAATGCCTATTGAAAAACATAATAGACCTATTACTGTTTTTGGTACCACGTAAAGCTATCAAAATTGAACAATGAACACTGTAATAATTTATAAGTATAATATATATAGTGATGTTTTTCATATAGTTCGTCGTTGTCCTTGCCTTTGTGGCCGTCGCCAGTGCCGGCGATTACTCCAACTTCGCATACAGCGTCGCGGATCCTTACACTGGCGACTTCAAGAACCAGGTGGAGAGCCGTCTGGGAGACAACGTGAAGGGTCAGTACTCGCTGCTGGAGTCTGACGGTACTCGCAGGACGGTCGACTACGCCGCCGGAGCTTAAGGCTTCAAGGCTGTGGTCAGGAAGGACCCTGCCTTAGTCGCCGCTGCTCCTCTCATCACCGCCCCTTACGCCTACGCCGCACCCTATGGATTCCCTTATTATGCTAAATTTGGTGCTCTCCCATACAACGGCTACTTCCCTTACAACTACAAAGGAATCTTTTACTAAAACAAAATGCACTAAGACTTATAAATAAACATACGAAGGTTCACATTTTGCTTGTTTTTATTATTCTACTAGCGGACCCGGCAGACTTCGTAGTGCCTCAATCGATAAATAAAAGACACATCAAGGGGACACATCGAAGGAAAAACAAAATTGTTTGTTTTTATATAATTCCGAGCTTTTTTTTATATTTTCTCACCTATTAAACCTTCTCTGGACTTCCACGAATAATTCAAGACCAAAATTAGCCAAATCGATCCAGCCGTTCTCGAGTTTTAGCGAGACTAACGAACAGCAATTCATTTTAATATACTTATAAGTATATATAAGTAGATATTTTCTTTCTAGCTTGACCGTTTTCGAAGCCAGTACTTGAGTATAATGACATTTTTGTATTGGGGTCAAACATTTATGAATGAAAAATAGAAAAACTACTAAAGTACACAATTATTAGGTAAAATAGGTACGTAGGTCTTTCTGTTAAATAATCTGGTTCCCTGACCTGACAGCTTACTAGGGTTAAACAAATTTTTTACAGTGTATTTTGTAACACGTTGTATATGTATGTAAATATTGGCAGATATAGCTATTGTTTGTATTTCAAAAGGCATAGTTATGCAGTCTTCAATAACTCACAACGTTTTCAATTCAATCAAAAATGTATGCGACTTATCAACAACGCAGAACCGCAAGAAATTTTGGTACATTTATCAATCTAAAATCGAATAAGCCTTTTGTCGAAAACACGAAAAACACCGTACATCAAACTTTTACTTGCGAATCAACGTTTTAAAATAACAATTACCTCAACGAGAAGTTAAATTAAAATCGCATATTAAAACCGCGGAGATTTTAATGAAACAATTAACATATTCATGTAGCTCGTTGGATTTTAAAATGTTTTTATCGTTCGTGCTTCGGTTGTAAAACCCAATTTGCAAATTAATTCGGTGTCGGACAACTCGTCGAGATTCGTTTTTAATAAAAGCGATGTAAATAGATGGAACCTCTGGTCACACTGCCGTACCGAATAAATAATTTTCATATAAAATATTTTGGTCTAAAATTAATATTTATCTGAATAATATTTTTCTTACCGACAGAATAACAAAAAAAAAGATGATCTGGCTATTTAAAGAAAAAAATCAAAATTATCGATAAAGTTGATTATTGAAAACACGAATAAAACAACATTTTCAGAAAATAAAACGTGGCTAGATCGATTTATCGCCCCCGAAATCCCCTGTATACTAACTTTTATGAAAATTGTTGGAGCCGTTTCCGAAATTCAGATTATATATATACTTATATACAAAAATTGTTCGTTTAAAGATATAAGATTTTAGGGAGTATAATATAATACTCCCTATTGTAGATTTACACGTATAATTAACGAACCGCAGTCAACAGGTCCAAGCTAGTCGTCTAGTAGATAGCTCATGTAAAACCAGACCTCAAACGTAAATTATTAATTTTCGGGGATATGGTATCTCCGAACAAGAATCGAACGTTCCATCAGCAAGGAATAATACTCAGTCCAGTCTCTCATTGAACTCCCACGTCGAAAATACAAGAATATTTACGATACGAATAAGAATTCAATCAATCTTCCGAATTTTATTATACACATTGTTGCAGAAAAACTACACAAATATATAGAAAGGAAACCCGGCGAAGCATTATCAGCTCATAAGATACATCTAAAATTCGAAATGTATCGCTTGGATAATATTAATATTGAATTATTATAAACATCGAAAGGCATGTGCGGTCGTTCCGTCTAGAAGAAATCGACTATTTTTCACGTCGAAGGTTACAGTTTGCTTTTGGATTTTTTTATTTTATTAAATCAGACTACTTGTTTTCAGTTACTACCGGGCATTGATATCATAACGTGAATGTGGTCGCCCACCTTGTGCCATGAGTCGAATTTTCAATTACACTAGATGATGACCGAGCTTTGCTCGTTTTTTTTTTATAACGCCATTTTGTTGTGTCTTTAAAGCGGTTAGTTGCCTTCAATTAAGAAAAATAGTATTATTATTCGCCAATAGATGTCGGGAAGAGTCATAAAGTTGATTATCGATAAAGTGGATTATTGAAAACACGAATAAAACAACATTTTCTGAAAATAAATCGTAGCTAGATCGATTTATCATCCCCAAAATCCCCTGCATACTAAATTTTATGAAAATCATTGGAGCCGTTTCCGAGATTCAGATTATACATATATTATATACATATACATATAAAGGTACAAGATTATAATATTTTGGCCATTTTTTAAAACCGGACTGGAGTATGAATGCTTTGCGGCAGAAGTAGGCAGGATGGCAGCACCTGACCCGGTGGGCTCACAAGCCACCCATCCACCAATAGTTACGAAAATTCCTTAACTTTTTTTACCTTTACTATGCCATTCTAATATCTTGGAACTCGTTGACGAGCACGTACATATTCCTTTAGGAAAAGTGGTGCAGGCAGAATCTACTCCACGACGTATCTTGTGTCCTCTAGGCGAAGACGACTTAAAAAGGGTCTTAAAAACGTTCAAATGTTAAACAATTAACTCTTTAAAAAAAGGTCCTTAATAGGTCATTGTTTAAAAAAAAGTAAAGCTACTCTGGTAATGTTTTAGTTTTATTAACAAAAAATCTACTAGCTCTCTTCTGTTTAAAATTGTTTGTATTAATTCTTTGTCCCTAAATGTACCATTTACGCACTATATTAACTTTAATTCTGACACATCGGATTATCGACTTAGGTCAGCGTGTCTTGTGACATGTAAGCCTCCTCCAGCCGATTCTACTCTGCCCGTTGGCTTTTCATGAATGGAATTGATAGATGTCTTATCATAAATAGCTAATTACTTTGATAAATGAAACAAATATTAACATGAACTGAGAAATGTAAGCGCATTATTAATCCTTTTGTATCACCAATGATGACTTTTGTTTCCAGTTAACTTATTTAACTTAATCAAAATAAGAGAAGAATGACAAATTTCAAATTGTTCAGATGTTTTCTTTGGAACGTTCACATACATTTTATAGAGAACTTGAGAAATATTTCATGAGATGTCTCTGAATATCTTCAGTTTCACACATAGCTTGTGGAATATGTTCCAAAATAGAAACTTCTTGTCGTTCAGGAACGAATCGAGTGCCGACGATTTTAAAATAAAAACATTGTTTATATTAAACAAAACAGTCTAATAGCTTCAGAGGTTAATTATAAGAATTGAGATTTTTTTTTAATCTATTTGGAAAAAAGGGTCTTAATAAGGTTATGTAATTGAATAGACTCAGTTTGGTACTGTAAGAAGGAGAAAGCCTTATGTTGTATGGGTATTGTATAATAGCCAGTAAGATACTACTATAGCCAGATACTAATGCACATTCTCTGCCTTAAGTTGAGTCAGAATATCGATCGAAAAAAGTAGTTATGACATGGATTGATGAGTTATGCTGGATTTGGACTTGTTCAATGTTTTTAAACAGTTTAGAATAGCCCAATACATGCAATTAGTGGAATCACATACATTCCCAATAAATGTTCGTTTTAATTGGAAAGATTCCGCTATCTGTGTAACAAATGTACTAAGGGATATTTTAATGATGGAGTTTTATTCCCGCACGTCTGTAATTTAATAGTAAGGTGATGAACCACTTTAAGCGTCCTTTTATTGCATTTTTTCCCGTGTAAGCTGACGAGCATACGCTCCACCTGATGGTGAGTGGTTACTGTCAAGGACGTTAGCAATGCTAGGGGCAAAGCCAAGCCGCTGCGTTTGAAGAAGGACATAGCATAGCGCTGGGGAAGCATTATGAAAGGGAGCTCATTCCATAGCCGGATAGTAGGTTTTTTTTATTGCTTATGTGGGAGGACTAGCTCACAATCCATCTAGTGTTAAGTGGTTACTGAAGCCCATAGACATCTACAACATAAATGTGCCACCCACTTCGAGATATATGTTCTAAGGTCTCGAGTATATTTACAACGGCTGCCCCACCCTTCAAATCGAAACGCATTACTGCTTCAAGGCAGAAATAGGTAGGGCGGTGGTACCTACCCTCGCGGACTCACAAGATGTCCTACCATCAGTAAAAAAGTTAAGTGGCCAAACAGATCTCTGGAAACGTACTATAGATGAACACAGTGGCTTCAGGTAGTATGAATGAACTCTATTCCGGTGGCGGGCGGTGCGTTGGTAAAAATGTTAATTCAAAATGTCAATTCTGTCTCTAGGATTTTTTTTACTTACATCCTTACGTCCTTGATCGATATCCGTTAGAAAAAATACAAAATATTAATAACAATAATTAGGAAAGACCAGTGGGCTCGACCACGCTTCGTTTTGATGATCGGAAAGAAAAATTCGCCAAGTACGGCCCTTTGTCTAAACATTTCTCAGCTCTCTCTGCGAGGTTTACGGGCGGTCGAGACAATATTGCCTTCACTACTACGATGAGACACAAAAACTTTACTACCGACTTTTATAAGATAGCTCTTTATGAGTGATACAATGTCAAATCGAACTAAAAAAATATTTGTAATATTGAATTTAAGGTTCATTATGTTTTGTTTTTCAAACCTGTCGATGGGTAAACGATCTTACGGCCTACGTGGCTGGTAGCTACATAACTAAATGCTCTAAGTGTAGCGCAGTGCAAAAATCTACGCCTATTAAGCAGAGAGAGATGGTGGGACATCGTAAGATGCATTTTTACTAGTGGCAGGACCTCTTGTGAGTCCGCGCGGGTGGGTACCACCACCCTGCCTATTTTTGCCGTGAAGCAGTAATGCGTTTTGGTTTGTAGGGTGGGGCAACCGTTGTAACCATACTGAGACCTTACAACGTATATTTCAAGGTGGGTGGTGTATTTACGTTGTAGATGTCTATGGGCTCCAATAACCACTTGGCACCAGGTGGGCTGTGAGCTCGTCCACCCATCTAAGCAATAAAAAAAACATGTCTGTCACTTCCAACATTACATGACGATAACGACCACTTAGTCAAGAGTGACACGATTAAGAAT